AGAATAATTGGGCTTCCTGAGGCAGAAAGAGAAACAGAAGCCACGCTGGAACAAACATTTCATGCAATCATTCAAGAAAACTTCCCTTATCTCATTAAGGATGAAAAAATTCCAACACAAGAGATTCAGAGAACCCCTGAAAGACAACAAACGAGAAGACCAACTCTCAGACACATAATAATTCACCTAAACAAAGTAGCTATGAAAGGAAAAATCCTAAAGGCAGCAAGAGAAAAAGGCCTGACTACCTACCAGGGAAAACCAATTAGAATAGCAGCAGATTTATCCACAGAAACCCTTCAGGCCAGAAGAGCCTGGAGCCCTATCTTCAAAGTTCTAAAAGAGAAACAATTTCAACCAAGAATAACATACCCAGCCAAACTAAGCTTCATTAGTGAGGGAGAATTGAAATCTTTTCCAGACATCCAATCCCTAAGAACCTGTTGGGAGCCAACATCTATAGTTACATGGCTGAGGCCTGTAAGGGCCCATCTGGAGGATCGCCTCTGACATAGGATATCAGTTATACCTATAATATTGGCGTGTGATTAGTGATCAGTGTGTATACATGGCAGTAAAACTTTTAAGTAAATATCAATATGCCTGATGGAAAGTGCATAGCAGAATTATTTTTCTCTGTCTTTCTAAGTTTTACTTCTTTCTAGATATTTTTAAACTTCTATTTCCTGGTAGACTGGTTAGTTAGCTCTTGTTCCCAAAGGCAGTTTCTTCTAGGATTAAGATTAGAAACTAAATTACCATAATAGTTTTATTGCCCTGCCTCTAGTCAGGCAGGACGTTTTTCTAGTTTCGTTACATGCCAAAACTCTGTTTGCTTCAGTCCGTGGCCATTGTCATGGTAACCATGCAGTCCATTATCCAAGAGTGTGACAGCTACTATTTGATTTTTAGAATAGACTTGTTTGGATAAAACATACATTTAAGACGATACAATTTCCATCGAAAAGATTTAAACAGTAATAAACATTCATAGAAAACTTTTGAGTTTTGTTTAAGCTTTTAAGTTTCCTTTTCTCAGATTATGACTTTAGTTCCTGTTCCTGTAGGCCAATTTTAAGATCCTTTGATTAGTATACTGAAATTTTCCCAACGGTGCTGTTTTTGCTTCTAATATGACAATAGGAAATTTTACACGTAGCCATGTATTAATATACTAAGAAAAAAGATTTAAGTTTTGTTTTAAAGTCATAGTTTTATTAGAATAGAATGAGGATTATAGTGTTATGATTTTAAAATCATACGTCAATGATAATTATAAGATTTAATGATAAGGTATTAGCTTAATAGGATATAGCATAGTATTAAAGGCCAATCATTAGATTATATAAAAGTTAAAGTTTAGACATAGGAAATTCACTTAAGTCATGGTTAGGCTTTATAGTTTTAGAATAAGTTTTAATTGTTATAGAATTACAGGACACTATGTTGAATCATAATAGGTCAGTGGAGTAAATAAAAATTAAGTCATTTAAGTAAACTTATAGATTATAGTATAGTGTTAAGTTGATAATATCAATCGTTAAAAATATTAGGAGTCGGTGAACTTGGATTGAACCTAGAGTTAACTTAGAAAGTTTTTGTATTAAATCAGGGTTTAGAACAAAGAGTATAATATGAATGATTTATTGAACAGTATGGAAGACATTTTAAACAAACTGTATTGAAATTGTGCACCTGTGACCTTGATGTGAGTTTTGTGAAGCACGTCAGGCATCACAGAGTTCGAATTGTTTGCTTGGAAATTGCAGATCTCGTGGTGGTCTTGTGATGCATAGTTTGTAAAGCACGGAACTTGTACGCCCCCAGCAAGTGATTATCACACTGCTGGAGGGTATAGAAAATGGTATATAAGTTGGAAGGAGTCCGAATAAAATTTGGCTTCAGTCCTGATCAGACTGTTCCCAGAAGAACTGCCTCCAGGTGGTCTCTTCTCTCCGTCCAGATTCTCCGGTGTGGTCCTAACCCCCCCTCGGTCAGTGCTGGTCACCGACATATTTCTGCTAAATTCTTTGTCGTTTCTCATATCACTAATTATGACTGTCATTACATACCAAGCGATTTATTGCTTTGCAAATTCCACCCCTCACTTTTTTTTTCCAAAATGAACCAAGAATGGTAAAACAAAAAGCTTCTCCAGCTCTTCCTGAACAATAAAGTTTAATATTTGTATAACATTTTATACTTGATAAATAATCATACTAATAGCTAACATTTATTATATTTCAGTCTGTGTTTTAAGTGTTTTAGATGGATTAAATTCAATTCTTAGAACTGCCATATCAGTTAGATTATCCTAATTTTATAGAAGTGACTGGGGGTCTTAGACAAGTTCCGTGGCTTAGCAAAAGTCCCACAACACACTATACTAATAGACCAGGATTAAAAAAACAGAACTAAAGGTTAAAGCGTCCCTGAAGCTCAGGAATATATTGTTAACCCTTGCTTCCTATCCAAGGTTTCAAGTAAATCCCAGAAGAAAATGTATTGACGTATTGGGAAAATGTTTCCTTTTACAGTTAACACTGGGATAATCTGCTCTGTCTATTTGTAGCCTGGCTGAGAAAGTAATTTTGCTCTGGCTACCACAGTAAAAAGAGGAAAACATATTTGTTTTGAGTTCATTCTGGTACACATCCAAAGTTAGAAACGTCCAACGTCTTTATCTCTAGTGTTTTAATGGTGAGAAGTATGTGTTTTGCATGATCCTTTTTCCAGTCATTTAAAAATATATATACCTTTAAACTGATTCTTTTCCATGAATCTCTGCATTTTACTTGCTGTCTAATCCTATTGTATCCCACTCATCTTCTGTTTTGGGTTCACTAGGTTTTCTGAGATAAACTATGGTAAGCCTTTGAGGACTATCTTTCTGTGCATACATGTAATCACAACTGGATAGGAAGGTAGAGGAGGATCAGGTGGCACTAGGAGCATGTACATAAAGATGCCTGAGTAGATTAAGACTGTCCATGGTATGCAAGAAATATGTGTAAGGAGGATG